TAGTGCGATAGGCCCATAGGACTCGATCAAGCTCGTCCGCCCAGTTTCCTCGGACGTCTTCGAGTTTCTTCCGGATCCCATCGACCAAGGTTCGGTTCACATTCTCAACCTGCCCATTTGCTTGGGGGTAGGCCACCGACACCTTGGTATGCTTAATGCCGTGTCGGCGGCAGAATTCGGCGAATGCCTGGCAATCAAACTGTCGCCCGTTATCGCTGACGATGTGCTCGGGCAAACCGAAGCGACAGATCACCTTTTTCCACAGAAAACGTCGACATTGGTACTCGGTGATGGTAGCCAAGGGTTCCGCCTCGACCCACTTGGTGAAGTAATCGATGGTCACGACGCAAAACTTCAATCCTCCCGGGGCGACGGGTAATGGTCCCAACAGGTCTATTCCCCACTTGGCGAAGGGAATGGCAGTGGTGACTGGTGTATAGAAGGTGGCTGGCCGAGTGTCTTTCCTGGCGAATGCCTGACAAACGCCACATTTGGACATCCGTTCAACACAATCTTGCATCATGGTCGGCCAGTAATACCCTTGAACGACCAATTTTCGGGCGAGCGTGTGAGCACCCTGGTGCGCAGCGCAAATGCCTCTGTGAGCTTCATCCATTACCTTCTCGGCCTCAGGCTTAAGTAGGCATTTCAACAGGGGTCCTCCGAACGATTGTTTATATAGGTCTCCGCCAACGATCCGGAAGGAGGGGGCTTTCCGCCGAATCCTCGCTGCGACTGCCGGGTCAGTTGGCAACTCGCCCGTTTCCTTGAATCGCCGGATGTCATCTATCCAGAACATCTCCGGGTTTTCCTCTCGATCCCACCCTTCGGTGTTTACTTGCTGGACACCTAGCGGCGCCTCTTCAACACTCGGCCGACTTAACTCCTCCTTCTGGCAAATCTTTATTAAGCGGTCAGGCACCCCTTCCAGGGCGATTTTAGACAAGATGTCGGCCTCTACATTGTCCGCCCGGGATATGTATTCTATCTCATAAGCTCCGAACCCCTTCAACATCTTAATGGCACATTCTTTGTACAACGACATCCTCGCGTTCTTAGCTTCGCACGTACCCGAGATCTGCCCGACTACTAGCCGAGAGTCGGTTTTGACTCGTAGCCGTTCGACTCCCAGATCCTTGGCGAGTCGAAGGCCGTTCAACACTGCTTCGTACTCGGCCTCGTTATTCGATGCAGAGAACAGGTACCTTAAGGCGTAATACAGCCGAAATCCCTCTGGAGTGATGAGCACAACGCCGCCTCCGCAGTGCTGTCGACTTGATGCTCCATCCGCATGCATCTCCCACCATTCGCCCGGATTGCTCTCCGAGGCGTGTTCCTTATCCTCCTCACTCGCGGTACACTCGACCAGAAAGTCGGCCAAAGCTTGGCCTTTGATGGAGGGCCTGGGTTGGTACTCGATCCCGTATTGAGTCAACTCGACGGCCCACTTTACCAGCCGGCCGGAGGACAAGGGGTTCCGTAGCACACTCCCGAGTGGCTGATCCGTCAGGACCCGGACGGTATGGGCTTGGAAGTAAGGCGCCAACTTGCGCACAGTGACCACCAAGGCATACACGATCTTTTCCAGGGCGGTGTACCGTGTCTCGGCAGCTTTCAGTGAGCGGCTTACATAGTAAACCGGGTGCTGGACTCGGTCCTCCTCTCGAACCAACACCGAACTTACCGCTTTGGCCGAGGCGGCGAGGTACAACAGTAAGGGCTCGCCCTCCTGGGGGGTAGACAGTACTGGGGGAGTCGACAGATATCGTTTTAGTTCCTCGAACGACTGTTGGCATTCGACAGTCCAAGCGAATCCCTCTTTCTTCTTCATGGCTTCGAAGAAAGGCACAGTCTTATCCGCCGATTTGCTCAGAAAACGGCTGAGAGCGGCCAGTCGTCTCATTTTCATGGCTTCGGGCATTTCTCCTATTCAGCTGGTTTCTCAAGTCGGCCTCTCGTCCGTTGTCTTGACGGCTCGACTGCTCCTCGCTTCCAGCCATGTCTGGAGTTTGCCTGATTCAACTATTGTTCCTCGGACTCGCCTTACTCAAGAGGACACGTGACTCTTTGTTCGATCCCCACAGACGGCGCCAGTGATGGTTTTTGGGTTTTCGGGCCCCAAGGAGGTCCAACACAACCTTAAGCTGGAGGATACACCTTTCACAAAAAGTCTAGATTTTTAGTGAAGTATGATGCTTAATAGTGCTCTCTATTCCCTCTCCGGGTTCTCCAATCTGCCTCTTACAAGAGTGGAGGAGCCCTCTTTATAGTGGCTCCTCCTCTACTGACTTAAAGGCCTATGATGGCCGACTTAAAGATTACATTCAATGTGTCGAGCCGTTGGGCGACGTTACGGACTCTGCCAACGGCTCTCTCTGGCTAGTAACTGGCGAACCGAGTCCGACCTTTAATGCCTCATCGGCTCCTTGCCTTAACTGCTCTGAAGGCTCCCTCAACGGCTCTCTGGACCGAGTCTTCTCCTGGGCCGGACCTGGGCCGACTTCTCGTCCCCGTTTGGCATTGGGCCGTCCTTCCGGGCTCTGAACTGGGCCTCCTTCTTCAGATCTGGGCCGAGTCCTGGACCCGGCCCATGCATTCTTTCTGGGCCTCTTTTCTTGGGCCGGGGTTCTCACCCCATCAATAATAATAATAATAATAATAATAATAATAATAATAATAATAATAATAATAATAATAATAATAATAATAATAATAATAATAATAATAATAATAATAATAATAATAATAATAATAATAATAATAATAATAATAATAATAATAATAATAATAATAATAATAATGTTTTCAAAAAATAATAATAATAATAATAATAATAATTATTATTATTATTATTATTATTATTATTATAAAAATAAAAATAAAAAGTATAATTAAGCCAATGAGCCAATCATATTAACTATTTGGGGGATTTATTGACAAAAAGAGTATTCAAATCACACAACAAATTGAATTGGAAAACTATCTCACAATGTCCTTGTTTGGCAATCAGCAGTTAGCTCTTCAATATTAGGATATATTTAATATTTTATGCCCTAATTTTTATTTGTTCTCCCTTATTTCCCGTATTTGGTTTCAACCATACCCACACAATTATTTTATTGACAATTATAATCAATCTTGACTATATTATCTTGCATTTATAAACTTAGAATTACCTATTTAAATACGCAAATTCAACATTCAATTATCTATGCATGAACAATTCCAATATAATCTTGCATTGATATATTTTATAGTACTTATTTAAAAAAAAAAAAAAAAAATATATATATATATATATATATATATATATATATATATATATATATATATATATATATATATATATATATATATATATAAGAGTGGGCAGGGGTCCGGGGCAACCCCTTTTGAAGTCATTTCTATATTTCTATTGGCTATTGAAAGGTATTTTTATTAGCTAATAACAAAAATTATTTCGATACAGATTTTCTGAGATTTTAATATTTTGCTTTGTTAAGAAAGTTTTCATTCAATATTGCTGTTTTTCTTTTCAAACTCAATTAAGAAAATTATTGATCCATTTCACCATTTGTATAGAAATTTTGCATTGTATATTTCCATTACATTTCAAAACAATTAATACCAAATGCTCTGTCGGATCGGGGGTGGGGGGCCCTTAGGGTTGGGGTTTAGCCTTTTGGAAGAATTAATACATTTGAAGAACGTATTTAACACAAGTTGTATCATTCTAGGAGTCTCAAAGTATTGAGTTGTTAGGAACTAACATTAATGCCCCGTTTGGTTCACGGAATAGGCCGGGAATGGCATAGCATTCCCAGTAATAGGCCTATTCCTTTGTTTGGTAACCATTTCTATTACTAGGAATATTATTACTGGTAATAGCCTATTACCTCAAATAAGGTAATAGCTATTACTAGGGCCCCCCCTGGTATTAGCCTATTACTGAACGCTAAGGAATAGATTTTAGAATCTATTTTCATTTTTACCCCTTTCTTTAACCTAATTTTTTTATCCTATATATAAATTTATCCTATTTCATTACCGTCGTCGCCACCACTACCATCACCGTCGCCGCCGCCACCACCACCACCACCACCATCGCCACCGCCGCCACCACCATCGCCACAACCGCCGCCGCCCCCACCACCACCGCCGCCCCACCACTACCACCACCACCACCACCACTACCACCCCAGCACCACCACCGCCACCACCACCGCCACCGCCACCAGAACCACCACCCAGCAACACCACCGCCACCACCACCACTACCGCCGCCACAACCGTCGCCGCCCCCACCACCACCACTGCCACAACCGTCACCGTCACCACCACCACCGTCGCCCCCACCACTGCCACCGCCACCACCACCACCACCACCGCCACCACCACCATCACCACCACCCCCACCACCATAGCCACCACCGCCGCCGCCGCCGCCACCATCGCCACCACTACCACCATCACCACCACTATCACCGCCACCACCACCACCGCCATCGCCACCATCACATATTTTTATAAGGGTATTTATGTCTTTTAAAACATATTTCATTTCTATTCCTTAAATCAACCAAACACTGTAATATAATTCCTAAAGTCTATTCCTTCCACGAACCAAACAATAGAATACAATTCCTATTCTATTCTTTGCTTATTCCATTCCTTATGGAATAGCATTCCTATTATCTCAAAATTCATTCCGTGAACCAAACATGCTATAAGTGACTACGACCTAAGATAAGCGAGGATCAAACTGCAAGTAAAATTAAAGAGTTAATACCTTCAATGGTCCTCCAAGTATTAACAATTTATCAGCTGTGGTCATCCGAGTTTTAAATGACATCCAATGGTCTTCCATGTTTAAAAAAAAAAAAAAAAAAAAAAAAAAAAAAAAAAAAAAACACATGTGGTCCTAATTCTTAAAAAAATCCGAGGTTAAAACGACCACGAGACGTCCTAAGAGCATAGCGCAATCTTTGCATATTTTTACGATGTCTACCTTCCTATTGCCCGTTCGTGTTTGTGAGACTATTGAGAAGCTTTTTAATCGCTATTGGTGGGGAGGAGGTGGCGCAGGAACTAGGGGGATACACTGGATGAGCTGGAATCAGTTATGTGAACCAAAGTCTAAGGGCGGTTTGGGATTCCGAAAACTACATGTGTTCAACGTGGCTCTCCTTGCAAAACAAGGGTGGCGGCTTTTGATCCATCCAGAATCGTTGGTCAATAAAATGTTGAAGGACAAGTATTACCCTAGCTGTGACTTCATGGAGGCATCGGCAGGGAGTAATCCTAGCTACATTTGGCGTAGCAATTTTAGCGGGGCAACAAGTGCTAAAACTGGGAATGACCCGTAGAATTAGAGACGGCAGAGATACTCGAATCTGGGGTTAGGGTTGGCTTGCTGACTCTTCCAACCCAAATCTAACCACTCCATACAACGATCATTTGAAGGACGCCATGGTACACGGACTTCTTGACGAACAGGGCCATTGGGATGTGAAGGTTGTGAGAGACATCTTCCACGAAGCAAATGTACAGAAAATCCTCGCGACGCCAGTGAATACACAGTTCAAGGACACATGGAGATGGCCAGGTGATATGCGGGGGAGGTACATGGTGAAACACAGATACCGCTTACTTACAGATATCGACATTTATTCGACTGATGATAACAATTTTAGATCATGGAACAAACTGTGGTCATTGCCAATTCCTCCCAAAGTCAGAAACTTCTTATGGCCGTTGCGCCCGTGGTGTTTTGCCGGTAAGAGAGAAATTAAAGGCGAAGAGGGTGTTGATAGGTGGTGGCTGCCCGTTTTGCAGCTCACCGTCGGAGACACCTGAACACATCTTCTGCGACTGTGTTTATGCTAGAGGCTTATGGGGAGAGGTGGAATTGTTGCAAGGTCATAGCATACAGAGGTTCATGGAGGCTAGACTGGGCGTGTCAAATGTCGAGCAGGCTGTGACATTGGCGCAATCTTCTGGACAATCTGGACGGGGAGAAACAACATTGTTTGGCGGCAGATCACACCTTCTGTGGAGGGCATGAGAGCTCAAACTGAGAGGCTGCGGGCCTTGTGAAGGAAACCTTCGTGGTTGGTGGTCGAACGAGAGGAGAGAACAGCTGTTTGGATCGCTGGGAACCTCCACCACACAACACCTTCAAATGTAATGTGGATGCAGCCATTTTTTCTACTACTGCAGGCTTTGGTGCTATCGTTCGTGACCATGAAGGCCGTTTTGTGGCAGCAACTTGTGGCCAATTTGCGTGCAATCAAGACCCGTTCATGGCTGAGGTCCTTGCGGCCAAGGAAGCATTAACATGGCTGAAAGGTCTACACCAAAGTCATATCATCCTAGAATCTTACTGTTTAAATTTCTGTAATGCATTTAATTCTCGTGAAGTAGATTATTCGTATGTAAGTATGATTGTTAAGCAATGTTTGTTAATTGCTTGTGACATAGGGAACGTAAAGGATCACCATGTCATCAGCAAATCGTGTGGCTCATAAGTTGGCTCAGGCAACCGGTTCTTTGTCTGTCTCAGGATCGTGGGCTGTTATCCCACCTGCTTGTATTGCTGGTTTATTAAGTCATTAATGAAGTTGTTTTTGTTTTCAAAAAAAAAAAAAAACCATGCAAAATTTTATATATATATATATATATAATTTCCATTCCTTCATTTGAAAAGTTGACTTGTGGCTTCATACATACAAATTCTTTAATTTCTACAAATTCAAATGTGGCTTCCACAAAGTTGATTTTTCATGTTAAGCAAAGTGAACTTAGCTTGCTTGCTTTAACCGAAAGGTTAATTTCGACTTTTTAAAAAAAAAAAACTTTTCGGTCAAAAACAAAGCAATGGGTTGGAAAGTGAAGGGCAAAGTTAGTAAAATGTCAAGGGAATATTTTAATACCTAAGAATTCCAAGGGAATCACATTCCCTTCAAAATTGGAAAAAATGTGATGGGGAGGCTAAATTTTATTCCATGAGAATGTTACATAACTCCAACCAAACATAGGAATCTTATATAACCAACCAAATATAACCTTGGTTATCTTAGATAACCCGAAGGAGTTACACTCTTAGTAGAGACTACTATTTCGAAAGATCACAACTTTTGAAAACAAGTCTGATCGGATGACCTTGGTCATATAGGTCAGGTCGGCAGACATTCACACGCTAACTTGATAGGGAGCTCGATAGACCTTTACTCTGTAGAGGCATGAGCTCAACAAACTTTTACTTGCTAACTCGACAACTCTTGATCTCATTAGCTCGATCGATCTCTAGCATGCCATCACGGTAAAGGTTAACAGTAGATCACACTAGGTATGCTGTTGTAAATTTAGGAAAAAAAACCATTTTTCACAACTCAAATTGGTACACTTTGAGAATCAATTTCTCAGTCAGCTAATATATCAAATTAAATATCTCTATTATGAGAACTCGAATCTACTTTGACTTGACATGAATTTGAAGTGGACCCCACTCAAAATTTTGCCTTAAAATGATCATTTTACATGCTACTTTTAGCTAATTTTTCAACCATCCTCCACTTGAATGAAAATTGATATTTCGCAATTGGAAAATGATACAAACGTGTTCAACGGGCTATCCCTGCATAGAATAGGTAGGTGTTACCCTTTGAACCTTTCATCATAAAAATATATTTACTTTATTGGCTGTCTAGTAAAATACGATGTCTTTGAACTGTATTAAACGATTATATATATTAGACAAGAACCTTCACACCTTTGTTCAATTCTCATGGGTGTGTCCACTTTGGCTATGGAACACCTTTGTTTGGTTTTGCGTGAGTTTCTAATGAATTGAGCTCATTCTCCTTTGAAGCAACCCCACTTCTCTCGCATATTGTGATTTTTTTCTCGAGTATCCCAAATAATCCACTCATGCTAACTGATACTTAGAATCATTAAAGCATGCATACAAGCTAGCATATGTAGGAGTCATTGTTTCAACAAGGAGTGGATAGTAGTTTGAGACCCCCACAGTGACCATACTCCGTTCTATATTTTAGTTGCTCATTTTGAACCTAGGTGCCAACTAGGTTGGATATCCACGATAGAATTTTTATTCCAAGGGTTTTTGTTCCATCTGTTGTGAGAACTTCTTTACCAATTCTTTGTTCATCCGTTGTGACAACTTCTCTATCAATTCTTTGCTCAACCCTTTGGTTAGCATATCTACTATATTTTTTTTTTTACCTCACGTAGTAAATAGATATAACACCTGTTGCGAGAAATTATGTAATGGTATTATGCCTACAAAATATTATGTCTAGACTTACCATTATACATATATTACTTTGTAGCCTTCCAATTTTTGCTTGACTATCGCAATGTATACAAATTAGAGGTACATGTTTTTCCCAACTAGGAATATCCTTGAGAAAATGGCATAGCCATTCAACCTCTTCACTACACTTGTCTAAGGCTATTAGCTCAGATTCTATTAGCGTGGATCTAGCTATCATAGTTTCTTTTGAGGATTTCCATGAAACAGTTGCACCGGCTAACAAGAACACGTAGCCACTTGTGGACTTAGAGTCCTTAATATTTGATATCTAATTAGTGCCACTATGCCCATCTAGTATAGTAAGATATCTAGTATAGTGTAGTTAGAGGTCACATCGAATATACCTCTAGACCCGGAAAGTAGCTTATGGAAATGAAATAATTTATGGGAAATGGTCGAGGCAGACCTCTTCACCGAGCTCCAGAACCCTTTTGTCAGCAGCTTCGCGAGCTTTAGCCTTCTTGTGCTTCTCTAGCTTCTTCTCCTGCTTGAGCTTCGCATGGACAGTAGATCTTTTTTCCTTGTTCTTTATCGAGGACGGAAGCAGAGATTCCTTCATGTTTTGGTTCTAGCTTTTGGTATCAATAGAAGTGCTAGTTTCTCCGTCGTCCCCCATATCGCTGCCATTGTTCTTCCTCCATTTCCCCCCCCCCCCCCCCATTGGAGTAGGGTTTGTCTACGAATCAAACCTTATCGGGCGCAGCCATCGAGTTCGGTAATGGCGGTGGGCCGTCGCTATGAGTTTATGACTGAATGAAAAATTGAAGATGGACAAGGGAGTGAGGTCGTCTCAGGCTGTGGTCTCGGCGATGGAGGAGAGGAAATGAGTCAATCTGATCGCAGCGATGAAGAAGCAAACGGTGATGGAGGCGAGGGAACGAGGAATTCATCAAAAAAGCATTGTTTTTAATTTAATTAAAAAAAACATGAACAATCTATGTCCGGAGTGCAACAACTTTGGACGCAGAGTCTTTTTTTAAAAAGGACTTGCGACAATATGCGTCCAAAGTCTTGAACTTCGGACGCATATTGTCCTTAATTTTAAAAAAAAATTAAATAATGTCATTTTAATTACAAAAATGTCGTCGTCCCGACTTTACGCGTCCAATATTTAAACTTTGGACGCATAATGTTAGATTTTTTTGATCATTTTTGACTAGTGAGTATATCATAACCGGGGTTACTAGTATATTTACTAAGTTTACTAACTGTAAAGGCAATATTCTACCTAGTACAACTCATTAGATACATTAAACTTCTAATAATTTTAGCGTATTCTACTTGAGAAGTACACTTTTCTTGATTTTTGGATAGATATACAATAGTATATAAAGACATCCTAGCCAATTGATTATCATTATTGTTAAATTACCAATGATTTTATCAATATAATGAGATTGACTCAAAACAAGACTCCTCGATCTTCTGATGATTTTAATTCCAAGGTTAAAACATGATTTATACTAAATATTTTAAGCTATATATAATATATTAGAGTTAATTCCACCAGAGGATTGTCTTTGGTGGAAATTTCAAATTTAGTCACAGGCTATTATTTTTTACATTTAACATCCCAGACTATTATATTTTGGACACTTTTAGTCCTTCTCATGACTTTTCCTATTTTTAGTAAAGGCATTTTTGTCTCTTCATATTTTTTTTTTTGTTATTTTTTTTCAATTTCAACCGGTTTAATTGGTTTAGGACTTTACTAAAAACCGGTTGAAAAATATGGTTACTAAAAATCAAAGGTTACCTAAAGTCTTAAACCAATTAAACTAGTTGTAACCGAAAAAATAACAAAAAAAAAAATGAAAAAAAAATGTCCTTACTAAAAATAGGAAAAATCATGAGAATGACTAAAGGTGTCCAAAAATAATAGTTTGGAATGTTAAATGAAAAAAGAAATGATAATTTGAAATTAAATTTGAAATTGTCACAAAAAATAAGGACTTCTTCTGGTGAAATTAACTCTATATATTATATTTTACGAAAGAATTGAGTCTGAATTCATAGAGTAATTAGAGCTCG